ACAAGAAAAATGTTGAATTGGCAAATGTTGGGTTATCTATATTTTTTACAACAATAAAAAATTAAAAATATTGATTGAATATATAACATGAAAAAAAACAGGCTTTTCCTAAGAGAGGCTGTAATGCAAATTTGTCTTTATTTATTGAGAGAGAAATTAAAAAATGACAGCTTTCTGGACAGGGCAGTGTAATTGAAAGTACCCTTTGTCACCAATATGCTCAAGGGTTTTTAGTACCTGAGCATTTAGTACCTGGATGTTCTCCAAGGATTCATGGGAAAACACCCTGATAATTCTCAATTCCAATGTGCTTTTCCAAGTTGAAGTTGTTAGGAGCCTTTTTACACATTTTGGTGTTTCTCGCACAGGTTTCTTCAGAAGAAGCATTACCAAAAACGCTGTGTACAAGTGTAAAAATGGGGGCAACTGTGTGATGGACATGTACATGCGAAGGAAGTGTCAAGAGTGTCGACTAAGGAAATGCAAAGAAATGGGAATGTTGGCTGAATGTATGTATACAGGTATTCGCAGCGAGCAATTAAATTCCACTAAAAAGCTTTTAAGGAGGTGGATGGCAGGTAATTCATATCACTAGAATAATACTTCACATATTAAAGAAGGGATTTACTAAGCTATCTAAGTGTCCTGAAAAGGGTAATGAACCCCTGAAATTGTCCCAACTGTCAGCTAAAGAGGATTTTTTTCACCAGAAAGAAATGGCCAGTCTTTGTTGTTCATTGTTGTGATGAGTTACATACCGCCAAAGTCACAGGCTTTAATAAGCAACAAAGAATGACAGTCTAAAAGTTTCCTCCAAATTTAATTTTAATATACTTCTTCTTATTTATTGCTTAATTAACATAAGAATGCACAGTTGTGGAAAAACATGAAGAATGCTTTATAAAGTATAACTGCCTCTGAATTGTCTAAATAGAGTTTTAAACCAAGCCATTTTATTAAGAATCTGCCTTCTCTTAGTGCAGCTTTGAACCAATTTGTATAGGTTTACACAGGAAATTAACTACCCTGAGTTTTAATATAATTTGGCCCTTCAATCTGATAAAGAGACACTGTATTAACTGCTGGCTTTGTGAGGAGCTGTAATCTCCATCCAAATTTGGAATGGATGCTAGTATATAACGTAATTAATTTTTCATTCTGCAAATTTTACAGACCGCTAAGATTCTGAGATATGTCCCATTCCTCTTCAAAACCCAAATAGACAAACAAATGTCACCAAGGGGATGATAACATTCAGGGAGGGAATGCCACATGAAATAAAAGCCTTCCTTTGGAAAGTGACTCCAGTTCTATTGTTCCTAAACTGTAAAGGCTACTGGGCTGGACCCAGAGAAATGATCAGGCAGGGGGAGAAAAAACAGGTCAGTGTAAATAATCCAGCTCCAGGTGGATGAAACTTTTATAGTGGTTGATCACAATCTCATTTTAGCACATATTAAACAAGAGACTGGCAATGAGGGCTCCTGCTGGAATCCAATCTTGCAATGGAAACACTTCCTTTGATATTAAGTGGTTCATGTTGCTCATCATCACATTGCTCATGTACTTGTTCCAGCTGAACCACCAAGGGCATTTTTCATGACTTTCCCTATAAGCATCTATAATATTATTTATAAACCCAAATTCATCAGGCAACAGATGCAGAGCTTTCATATGATTCTATAAAATAAGTTTCCTGCACTAAGAAGTTACTGGAACTTTGTTTCATTACCATTGAGAGGAGAATATGGAAGTTAACTAACTGGAGATAGGGCCGGTTATTCTACAGTATTTTTTATAGCTCTGTTTAAGTGCAAATCAATGATGATATTGTGTAATCGGTCAAAAGAAATTTTCAAATTCAGCTTGGGTATTTTCATCTTTAATTATATTTTCAATTATTTGGACAGTTCTGAAAGCTACCAGGATTTTTAAATGTTCCCTTAAGGACGTTGACATTTGTTTAACTCAACAAGTTTATTTATGTGTGTTTAATGTGAAATTAAATATAGTTCTTATTGCACAGTTGCGTAAACATGGATAAAAATAATATTTACCTCATGCTTTGAAACACCGGTCATCTGCCCCAGTTCTGCCCCCCACTAGCTGTGTGACGGTAAGCAAGTGCCTGACCAGCCTGGACCACAGATTTCTTGTCTATAAAAGAAAGAATTGGACCTCAGGATCTCTAAAGTTCCCTTGCAAGTCAAATTCTAACATCTTGGGGCTCTATTATTTTAATAATGAAGATAGAATGCTTCAAGTATTTCTCATGAATTTTTCTTTTTTAGTACCTGAAGGAGGCTCTTGAATGCAAATCACTATGCCTGCTTTTAAATTTTTCTTTGTATTTGTTCAAATGCAGTACATGCCTCGCACATAGTGGGTGTGCAATAATACCTAAGTCCCTTTTATCTCACATTTGAATTCAGGACAGTTGGTTTCATTTTCCTCTGCTATATAAAGTTGGAAAAGGTAGACTATATTGACTCATCATTTTATTGACTGAATACCTTGCATTTGTACAATGCTTTGCTGTTACAAAGCCTTTACATAAAGCCCTTTTAAAAAAAATGATCTGATTACATTTAATCTACGCAAAATCCTGTGAAATTGTTCCATTATTTCCATTTTACAAATGAAGAAACAGACTCACAGAGGACAAATTTATTGTTTAAGGTGACAGAGTTTGTCAGTAGGAGATGTCAAGGTTTAAACTTCGGCCTTCTCTTTTGGAAACATCAGAAGGACTAGTGTTAGCTCTATGCTAAATTGTATATGAGGTCTTCTGAGCCCACTAGACATCAAGGGCCTCGTGACCACAGCTCAGCTGGACTTCCGGTGGTTGGTGAAATCTCTATGTTTATTTTTTCAGGCTTGTTAACTGAAATTCAGTGTAAATCTAAACGACTGAGAAAAAATGTGAAACAGCATGCAGATCAGCCCGTTAATGAAGACAGCGAAGGACGGGACTTGAGACAAGTGACCTCTACAACTAAGTCGTGCAGGGTAATAACACGCAGCAGTGTCTGTGGAAGCCAAGGGGAGCTAAACCTCTAGGTGTATAGGGATCTAGCTGGGAGGCTTGTGAATTACAGCCACAGGCAAAATTTCTGCTTCAATTGTACGTTAAATGGATTTCTTCTTTTCTTTACAACCAAGAGAATAATATATGCTTTGGAATATATGCTTGGAATTCAAATAATAGCAGTATATGAAGCAAAAAGTGCAAACTCTCCTTCTCCCTGACTCAGTTCCACTCTGACTACCCAGAAGGTGCCAGTTGGAATGGTTTAGCATATAAAATGGATTTTTCAAACTGACTTTTGATGACCATTTTTCTCCTGTCTTTGAGAAAGGAGGCTCAAACTGGGAAGGACGTGGACCAAATAGAAACTTCTAGGTTAGTCCACCTCAGTGGGTAAAACGGGGTGAATACACATCTGTGGACCAATAAAGAAAAGCCATTCCCACTCAGGCTGCAAATTACTCAAGAAATTCCTTGAGAAACCTGGGACAAAATAATATTGCCGAGAAACTGTGTACAGGATGACACACTGTGATAAGCACAGGACATTTAGAGGAACTTTAATTTGTTGTTAGCTGAAAAACCAATAAGTCATAAAGGTTCAAGTCACTCTCTTCTTGATATTTATTGTACTAATGACCCAGAAAAGTTTATCCACTTTTAGTTTTTCAAATATATCATTTTGTATTTATTTCAGAAAAAAATAATTATATATAAAATACTATTTTGCTATAGTGCTTCAACAATAGCACTTTGGTAGAAGGAAGCAGAGAGTTGACAAAATTATTCACACTCTTTAAAAGGTATTATTAAGGGAGAAAGTGATGTTTGGGGTCTTAATTGTCCAGACTGATGACCCTCTAGGGGTCAGCAAAATGTTCTATAAAAGGCCAGATATTTTAGACTTTGCACCACGTGGTCTCCATTAACACTACTCTACTCTGCCATTATAGTGTGAAAGCAGAATAGACAATATGTGAACAAATGAGTGTGGCTGTGTCCCCCCAAAACAGGTAGATTTTGCCCATGGTCTGTAGTTTGTTGACCCCTGCTCTCCATGAATGCCCTTAGACAAATTCTCTACTTTTTCTGTGGGAACATTTCCTTAGTAGTGATTAAATCTTGAACTTTCACTGAACTTCTTTATGAATGGGCTTAATATATTTCATATACAAACCAATAGTTATTCCTAAGAAGTACATGAAAGAAACACTTTATCTCCATTTACAAACTGGAAAATGAATCACTAAACGTGATATGGCTTGCCTAAGGACATAGAGAAAGCACCAGAGCCCACATTTCCAGCCATATTTAGGGATTTTTTTCATGAATGTCTACAACTAGTTCGCTTCAGATGAATGCGTGTATAGGAAGGATGTCTTATTATCACCCTAACCCTAACATCTTTTATTTTCTTGCCAGTGTAGGAGAAAACTGAACTCACCCTAGACCAACAGAATCTTCTACATTATATTATGGATTCATATAGCAAACAGAGGATGCCTCCAGAAATAGCAAATAAAATTGTATGTACAATATCTGAAAAGCCACGGGTTTAAAGTTAACATTTTACAACCTTGGAGGTGTAACTTATATATGAATATCTTACTTTGAAATGATTAGTGATGAGAATTAAAGTTATACATTTAAACTTTTGGCAACATTAAACAATTAAAGAGTATGTCTCACATCTATCTTGGTAATAATAGTTGCTCTCCAAGGATCTGAGAAATATGAGCTGGGTCTTTACATTTTATGAAAAGATTTTGTAATCTTGTTCTTCTTTAGTCTAATGATTTTATATTATTTGTCTTTTTCTTATTACTTATTAATCATTTGTTTTTTCTTGAAATTTAGTTAAAAGAAGAGTTCAGTGCAGAAGAAAATTTTCTCATTTTAACTGAAATGGCTACTACTCATGTACAGACTCTTGTTGAATTCACAAAAAGGCTGCCAGGTATGTCAACATATAGTTATTTCCTTACTACACTGTACAATATTATTGTGACCTTCACTGTAAAATAGGAATCACCTCACATAGTTTAAATTAATGTATCTAACGACCATAGCCTGGGCTTCAACTCCACTTTCCAAGCCACTGGGATGGCAACTCTGCTGCCTCAGCTTTGGGCAGCCCCATTCTGCTAGTCCATCTGAGTGGTGACCTCACTCTCTTGGCCCGAGTAGTCCTCATTCTTCTGCCCCTTGGGCATGGCAGCCCTGCCCCTTCAGATTTGGGTGGCAACCCCATCCCCCTGGCACACTTTAATGGCAGTCCTACACTCTGGAACTGAATTAGCAAAGATCCAACTCTTTGAAACCTAGGAGGTTGTAGCCCCACCCTTTGAGATCCAGGGCACGGTGGCCCCACACTTTGAAACCGAGAAGTCCCTGCTTCCAGTACTCCTTCTGATCTCTAAGCTGTTCCAGGAATGGTCCTTTTCTTTTCTTCAAGGACGACAGATGTAGCTCCTTTGGCCTGTTTCCTGCCTGTAGAATTCCAAGAGGCAGACAGCGTTCTTTCTTTTTCATTCCTTCTCTGTCCTCTTCAGTCTAAGTGGATGGGTTTTCTGATGTGGTAGTTAGTTAGATCCTTCAGTCACAGGCTTAATCTCTTTAACAAAAGATTGTGTAGCCACATCCTTGGTGAACATTCTAGGACATGTGTCCTTAGTTTGTGCAACAGAATTTTCCAAATCTTTAAATTCTGTTTTATTTTGCACAGTTTATTTTTAAGTTCATTTCTTTCCTCTCACATTTTACTATAAGCAACAAGGAGAAACCACACAGCCTCTTTAAGATTTTGGTTAGAAATCTCCCCAGCCAAATATTCAAGTTCATCACTTACAAATTCTACTTTCCACCAAACATTTGAACATAATTCAAACAAGTTCTTTGCCACCGCATAAAAAATATCTCCCTCAACTGTCTAAACACATTTTCACCATTTTGTTTTAAAGCCTCACCAGAAACACATTTAATGTCCACATTTCTAGCAACATTCGGTTATTGGCACCATATATATTCTTGAAGACTTTATCTATAGCTCTCCTCACTTCCTTCTGAACTCTCACCAGAATTGCCTTTGATGTCCACAATTCTACCAACAATTTCTTCAAGGCAATCTAGGCTTTTACTATTAGGCACCTTAAAACTCTTCCAGCCTTTATCCATTACCCAATTCCAAAACTGCTTCCACATTTTAGGTATCTGTTAAAGTAGCACCCCACTCTTGGTACTGAATTCTGTCTTAAGTATCTAGTGCTGCTATAACAGAAATACTACAGGTGGATGACTTTAACAAACAGAAATTTATCTTCTCACAGTTTAGGAGGCTAGAAGTTTGAATCAAAGTGCCAGCTCTAGGAGAAGGCTTTCTCTCTCTGTCAGCTCTGGAGGAAGTTCCTTGTCTCTTCAGCATTTGCTTCCTGGTTCCTTGGAGATCTCCAAGTATTTTGGCATCTATTTACCCCATCTGTGCTACTTTCCTCTGCTTGTTTAATCTCTTTTATATCTCAAAAGAGATTGACTCTAGACACACCCTATGGTAATCCTATCTCATTAACATAACAAAGACAACCCATCCCCAAATGGGATTTTAATGACAAGCATGTTGTTATTGTTGTTAGGTGCCATCGAGTTGGTTCTGACTCATAGCGACCCTATAGGACAGAGTAGAACTGCCCCACAGGGTGTCCAAGGAGCAGCTGGTAGATTTGAACTGCCAACCTTTTGGTTCGCAGCCAAGCTCTTAACCACTACGCCACCAGGGCTCCAACAACAGGCATAGAAGTTAGGATTTACAACACATATATTTTAGGCATACAGTTTAATCCATAATGTGGCCATATTTGAGTCGTGTCTAAAAGAAAATGGAGTTTTCAAGGTGACATGAAGAAGGGACATTCCAAGTAGAGAGGCTTACTTGTGCAAGTATAAAGAGGCATGAATAAAAATTTGATTATTAGAGATAGAGAGAAAATTCAGTGTGACTGGCATTCAGAGGCGCCTCAGAAAAAAGCTTGGCAATCTACTTCCAAAAGGTCACAGCCATTGAAAAACCTATGGAGCATAATTCTACTCTGATACATATTGGGTCACCATGAGTCAAAATTGACTTGACAGCAATGGTTTGGTTTTGGAGCATAATGTCTTCAATGTGTCTGGACAAGAGGTAAGTTTTGTGCCAGACTGATAAGGAACTTACTAAGGAATTTAATCCTTGCCCCCTGGATGGTAAAGAGTTTCTGGTGATTTTTCCTCAGATGATAGAGAGGGAAATAATCAGATTTAGGTTGTAGAGACATGGCTTTGTTAGGTTTGCTTAAGATATATTTGAATAAGGAGGGACTTGAGGTCGATCAGTTGGCATGCTACTACACCAGTCCAGGCTAGAAGGCTTGAAATAAAGCAGTAGCAGTGTGAGAGAGAATAGAAAACAAAATGAAGAGAGATTCAAAAATTAATAGGGCTTAATGAACAATTGTATGTGTGGAGTGAGATAGATTTATCCACGGTCATTCTGATTATAGGTGGCAGTACAGAAACTGGAACGCAGGAGTCTTTCCACCACATTATCAATGCTGTCCCAAACCAATAGGTTTAAGTTGATTCAGTGTTTTTCAAAAATATTAGTACATTAGAAGCCCGTGGTTTAGAAGATTAGGACAAATACTTTGTATTACAGAATGTTGTGTTGTTGTGAACCATCGATTCTGACTCATACCAACCCTATAGAACAGAATAAAACTGCCCTGTAGGGTTTACAAGCCCTGGTGGTCCAGTGGTTAAGTGCTACAACTGCTAACCAAAAAGTTGTTATTGTTGTTAGGTGCTGTCGAGGTAAGTTGGTTCCCACTCATAGTGACCCTACGTAGAAAAGAACAAAACACTGCCCAGTCCTGTGCCATCCTCACAATCATTGTTATGCTTGAGCCCATTTTCCAGCCACTGTGTC